GCAAAGTGTAAATCTAGAACCTTGCAGAGGCCATCATCACCCTTTAATATGAATCAAAACTACAAGAACTCACACATGGGCTGAAATTTTTAAGGTTTGCAGGAAGGGGTCTGATTCTTTCAACTGGAACCTTCTCTTCGTTACCAAAGTCAATGTAAAGGATATCAGCTGTCTGGTTGTCAGCAGATAGAGTCTGCACCAAACCCCTGTACCAGTTCTGATAGGGAAAAAAAAAAAACAAAAACAAAAAAAATAAATAAAACACATTTAAGTCAATAACTTGCCAAAAATTAATTTAAATATGTACACCTAAAATGCATTAAATAACCTGTTCCCACCTTATCATAGGAAAACTGGACTGTGCAAACTTCTCCCTCACAGGGAAGGTAAGCTGTTCCTGAGAAACTGCTGCATGCTTTCTGAAGTTCTGTCCTTATGATATGTAGAGCTTCGTACATCTCAGGGATTTGGGGAACGATGAAAAACCGGCAAGGGCTGGTGAATTCAACAACAGTAGCCTGAAAGTAAAAAAGAAAAAAATAGAGTCCTGCACCAAGCAGCAGACAATTTCATGTTCAAAAAGGTGATGCACTGGAGTATCCCTTTATTTTTATTTTTTTACCTGAAAGTCCATTTTATTGATTTTAGAAGCTTGTAAATGTTTTAGATAGACCCTGTTGTTGCTAGATGTATCACCAGCCTTTAAAGATCAGAAATATTAAAGCATATAGTTAAGAGTTTTGATTTATATTTGAAGTGCAAACAACCAAGTTACTTACTGGCAATTCTGCAAGGCTTTCCTTGAGACCAGTGCTTTGCAATGCAACGTTTTCCTCAGGCTTTTTTCTTTAAATTAAAGAGACACACATACATTTGAAAATAGCTTGATTTCTAGAAAATTAAAAGCTTTAAAACTAGTGACCAAACCTACATTTCAGGCTCTGGGTCAACAGCTTTGCAGGTGTATCTGTGGTTTTTCCAGTCTTCCGTCTGACAATCAACAGAGCAATAACTCTTTTTCTTGCAGCGCATGCAGCGGAAATTTCCTATTTAACAGCAGGAGAAATTGATCTTCATTGTTGGTTGGAAAATGCACACAAAACAACACTAATAAAATGAGTGATTTTTGAAAAGTGACCCCCCACCCCCCACAAAACGCCATATGGAATGAAAAAAAAAAAAAAATCAACAAAAGAAGCATCTTCCTTGATTAAAACCTTTACTTACTGACTCTATAACTCTAGTATTACCTTGCTTTCCACAGATGTAGCACAAGGGAGCTGGATGGTCCAATCCTGTCAACTGATAATTCAAGGGGAGAAATCACTTCATTGAAACAGACATTTTCATTTTAACAACACACAGATGCAGAAATAAATAACTAGGGCAAATAGATGTACTGCTCCATCAGGAGCAGACAGGATTGTAAGCTCATCAACAAGCTAAGAAATACACAGGCAACCATAAATTTAAAACCAACCAGAATTTACATAGAGGCTCTAAGAATCTCCTGTGTGGTGGATGAATGGGTGTGGTTCCCCAAGACGTACAAAAAGGGGGGGAGATTCAAAATTCTCAGTTAAACCAGCATTATAAGAATCAGATTGTGAACAAATCTTGCAAAGAACTCACTGTCACTCTTAATGTTTGTTGTTCTCCCGACCTCACGATTCCTAACGGAGGTGGTCGTTAGAGGCCGATCGCCCCTCGTTACCCGCTGTACACTACATGACTCACGATGCACGATAACGCTGAAAGTTGTGCCGATCGAAAGATTCACGCACAACTGGAAAATTGCCCTGAAAATCGCACAGTGTACGCCCGGCTTTAGATGATTTAAAAAGGCTTTAAAAATGTTGAAAACAACTTGGTTTTCTACTTTTACAGTTAGTCTGGGGTTGGAAGCTTGTGGCCTGTCTTTTCCCTTTGCACTAACCATAAGCTAGATGTTTCACTCCAGGGTTGAAGTTTTTCAGCAACTTTAAAACTTGGTTATCCAGAGTCCAATGTCGCAGGAGTTTACTGTAACCTTTGTGTGAAAAACACTTTGCTTCTACTTGTATTTATAGATCTGCGTGCTAACTGTAATTCTCTCCTCTCTGCTTTGTGGCGGAAAACCCATTTTAAGAGTTTACCGCCACCTAAAGGTCTAGAGTGGAAATTTTCTATTGGTGTATTCAGACTAGACGCGTAATCAGCATCAGAGCATCTGATTTACACGCAAAGTCTATAGGAGACAGCATTGAAGGGTGTCAAAGTGTTGCGGGCACCGCATCTGGGTGTTCTGCCGTCCGAGTGTTCAGGCATCAGAATGTCCGCCTTTTGATGCTAGAGTTTAAGAAATTTAGCTTTTGAAGCTGGACACCGGTGTTATGTTGAGAATAACCTCCAATCTCACAAACTGATGAGAAAATGGACTGAAATATGAAAGAAAAGGGAACTTTTAAACATATTTTTAATGTGTTCATGTTTCTTATGCTTAAATGCTCTAAAATTTAGTTTTGGTGGACAGATAAAGTCGAATGCATACGATTTTTACTGTTAAAGAGACACGTTTTAGTTTATGTGCTACAGTCTGTACAGAAGTACAGAACGTACTACAGTATGTTTAAAAAGTTCCCTTTTCTTTCATATTTCAATCCATTTTCTCATCAATGTGCGAGTTTAGGGCGATGCATGTCCCTGCAACAGGGGAGGTAATTATCTACAGTCAGATATTTCTCATCATTTATCTTTTGACTAAAACTCAATTTAAGGGAATCCTTGCATAAACAAAAAGAAAACATCAAGAATAAGCTCAAAAGTTCCCTCTTCACTAATATTTCAATCCGTTTTCTCATCAGTGTGTGAGAGGGAAGATAATTCACAGGCAGGTATTTCTCGGCATAACACGGAAGCGTCAACCAAGAAGAAAAGATGATCCAGGAGTTTTTTGTTTTTTTAGGGGAAATAGACACAGGCTGCAAGCTGTTATTTTTTCTGCAGAGATTTCTGGATATGAAAAATAAATAGATATTAAGGAGTTAAACACCAAAATGTAAAAAGAATGTTTTTTTTATGTAGGCTACAAGGAAAAGAGAACAAGTTCTAATCATTATTGCTGCACTAAAACATTTTTTATATGAACAATGTTGAAACACTTTAGGACCACGCAATATAACTAAAAATGTTAAAACCTGCTGACTAACAATATTCTGCTCTATATTCTGGCTGTAATCTGGCTGCAACAGAGAGAGTTTTTCAGCAGGGATTTACAGCGCTGCCGCTGCTGTTCAGTCAGAACAGCATACGTTGTCGGATCTGCATACGCTTCGTTTTTATCTGACCTGAGTGACAATAATAAACACAGCCATTCTTTTCTATGATTTTAAACATGAAAAGAAAATGTAACCAAATTCAAATTGCCACACATGGTTTTACTACTAAACTAACTGATTTTAAATTAATATTGACTAATATGATTTTAGCTCTAAATGCTTCTTCTCTCAACATCCCAGAAACTTCAACTATGACTGGCCATTTCAACACCCAAGAAATAACAGAATCAATAATGTTGCACCGATGCCATTTTTTGGCCCTGATACCTGGCTGTGCTGTATCGGCCGATACTGATTCCATCTGTTTGAAATTGATGTGTGTGTGTGTATATGAAGAACTACATACCAGTTGGATGTAAAATAATTGCCATCATGGCTTTGTCAAGCTGCTGCCTACCTTTGTGAAGCAGGAAAAAAACTAATACAAAGTTAATCCAGTAGAACTTTTTACCTGCAATGGGTGACAATAATTGAATAAACTTTTGGTCGAAAAAATGGTATCATGCCCCTTTGTTGGTACTCGCCGATACCGATACCACCATTTTAGTGGAGTATCAGGGCCCCGTCCGATACTGGTATCGGTGTAACACTAATGATCAAAGCCGATTTTCTTTTTTAAAAGTTAAAATAAACATGTTTTGGCTGGTCATAATACTGCTACTAAAATTTAATGTGGAAATAATTCTCTGTTGTGCAATGTATGCCGATCTGACAGCGTATGTTGTTCTGACAAAACACCAGCTATATGCTGGAGGTCAGGCTCTCTAAAAAAGAAGTATATATTTTAGTTGGATCATAATCCTGATAAACTAACTGCACGGATGACGTTTTGAGGTATGCTTTCTCACTAAAAAAATTTGTTGAATCGCGATATTGCAAAAAATATGAATTGCCTAGAACCAATAGAAATGTCAGTTGACTGCATTTATGCATTTTTATTAATTTTATAACAGGGTTGCTATCTGTTAAAAGATGCTATGCCACTGTAATACACTCTATATACAGCTTCTATGGAGCCGTCTGTTGGAGCAGTGGATTATCTGTAGCTGAGAGAAAGCAGCTGGATAAGCTAATCAGGAAGGCCAGCTCTGTGACTGGATGCCTTCTGGGCTCAGTGCAGGAGGTAGAAACAAAATGATCCTAACTAAATTAACATCTCTGTTGGATAATATCTCCCACCCCATGCATGAAGCTGTTGCAGAACAAGAGAGCTCCTTCAGGGACAGACTGCTGCACCCTAAATGCACCCGTGAGCGTTATCACAGATCCCTTCTCCCAGCAGCTATGATTTATAACCAACACTGTTCCCAACAACCTCAATAAGTTGTTACATTCATGTGGATTTTGCACAGTTTCTACTTCAGTCAGTTAAACAACATGCTGCTGTCATTTTTTCAACACATCTCTGGTGTTGCTGCTATTTTCAAATATCCATTCCTGTAAAAATGTCCAAAGCTGTATATTGGTTTATTCTCCCAGTGCAGTTTTATATTGCTAAAACACTTAACAGTAAAGTATTTCATTGTTCATCTTTTAACTCTTCACTATTATGTTATTGTTATACATTTTTCTAAAGGTCCACAATTGTGTGACAGTTTTTTTCTTATAATCTTTTTGCTGCTATAAACACCAGAATTTTCCTAATAAAGGGGTTTTCTATTCTATTTTACTTTTATGGTCATTACATGTACATCACTGAATAGTGTGGCAAATGAAATGTGCTATATAAATGAAATATACCTACTGAAAAAAACCAACGTGTTGAAATAATGTAGACACACGGGAAAATTGGCATCTCTTATCTGGTATTAAAAGCGTGCACTTAACATTTTTAGAAACCAAATTTCTCTAAGGCTACATTCACACTGCAGGCCTTGATGCTCAATTCAGATTTTTTGTGAAATCCCAATTTGTTTGTGTTGCCGTTAACATTTCCAAATATAACTTGTACGTCATCTCCTGTGTGAACTGCAGTCAGACAACGCAATGTCCCGCATGCGCAGTAGAGGACTTTATGACATCACAGGCCAGCTTGTACTGTGTTTACGGAAGTAAACATGGACGATAGTGCTGGAGCGCATCTAGCGATCTTTCCCAACCATAAAAACAAAATCTGTTCAAGATGGTTAAACATAAATACTACTCTCTGTATCATTGTCCGCCACGGTTGTTGTTTTTCTTGCCGCTTCTTCATAACATGACCCATAATAATGACCTTTGTCATGTATTAATGGCGTTCATGTCGGATGAATACGACCTCTTGAGAAACAGGTCGCATTTGAAAAGATCAGATTCTTTTCAGATTCAGGACCACATAGCCAAGCGGCCTGGGTCGCATTGGAAATAAAAATAGGATCTGTGTTGTTCAGACAGCCATGAAAAGATCCGATACAGGTCGCATATGGGCCAAAAAAAAATCGGATTTGGGTCACTTCAGGCTGCAGTGTGAACGCAGCCTAAAGGGTTGGTTATATTCCTGCAGCAGTGTGTCGCAGTGAGCCTGTCGCAGGACGCAGGCATTTTTGATTTATGCTCAATATTGAAGCGTGGTCTGTGCTATGTTTATTCCACTCCACAATGCAAAAGAGGAAAATCATTAACTAGCTGTGGGTCTAGATACGACCGAGGCGGTGAGGAAATGGGGGCAAGTCTGTCCGACAACGGAGGGACGTGAGGACAAAAAAGAACGGGGATCCAGGTGGAAAAAGGGTCCCAGCGTTCTCGCGCACCTCGCTCTTCTAACTGGTCCAATTTCACAAGTCGTTTTCCACAATGGTGGTCATACAAACAAAGGAAGCCGATAAGGCACCAAACAGGAGACGCATAGTGTAGAGCGGATGTAGATTTGACCATTCAGATGCCTCCTGTCTGTGGTCACCTTCAATTTGGGAGAGGTGCAGCAGAGTGTCTTCGGAGGGGAAGGGGACATCTCTGTGTTCACCGCGACACATACGCAGACGACCTAGTTTCGAAGTGTAAGTCAGCCTTAAGACAGTGTTTTCCAACACTGGTCCTCAAGGCACACTGACCTGCATCTGCATGTCTTGGATGTTTCCAGGCTGTCACAAACCTGATGTCAATAGATAGCAGTTTAAAGGGGAACTCATTTTTTTTATTTATTAATTTTTTTTTATTTACATTACTACATGATGTTATACTCACCCATATGAGTTTTGTGTCATTTGGAGCTGTTTGTTCTGAAGATATTCCCTTAAGTTATATCCAAATAACGTCTTCCAATGGGCAAGTGACTAGAAGGGACAAACTAAACTGTTCATAATTGATCATTTATGGTACCCCAGCATTCATAACATGTAGGCGCATCACTGTCCCCAAGACATCCGCAGTTATATTTTTTTATATTTATATTTTTTTTAAACAAAGCGGAGTGTGTATGACGTCATCCACGCGCTGGACTGGAGTTGTGACAGGCAGCCCGGGCCACAGGCGGCTACGCTCTACCCCTTCTATTTGTTTGGCTAGCTAATCTGAATCGTTCAATTCCATTTCGAGAGCGAGACCATCTGTGATAGTAGCACTAGACATCTTCCAGGCATGTGAGGAAAACTAGCAGCAGTTCAGCGGACAGGATGAATGAACGGTAGCCGGCGCCCGCGGATGACATCATACACACACCGCTTTGTTTTTAAAAGATATAAATATAAAAAATATAACCGCAGATGTCTGGGGGACAGTGATTCGCCTACATGTTATGAATGCTGGCATACCATAAATGATAAACTATGAACAGTTTAGTTTGTGCCTTGAAATCATTGCCCATACAAAGACGTTACTTGGATATAACCTAACAGAATATCTTCTGAACAGCTCCAAATGACACAAAATTCATATGGGTAAGTAGAACATGATGTAATAACGTAAAATCAAGAGGCCAATGTAAGAAAAAGAAAAAACGGTGTTCCCCTTTAACAGGGTTTCCAGAACTCCAATCATCTGGGCCAATGTAAGAAAAAGAAAAAACGGTGTTCCCATTTAACAGGGTTTCCAGAACTCCAATCATCTGAATCAGGTGTGTTGAAGCAGGTAAACGCCTAAAACACGCAGGGCAGTGCCTTGTGGATCAGGTTTGGGGAAAAAAAAAAAAAAAAACTGCTCTAAGAGACTGAATTTTAAGTTGCCTTTATCTATAAATTATTATTAGTTAGTGAAAATGAACAGTTAAATTGTTTTGTTTTATCATACATTGATATACAGGTTTAATTTAATGTTATCCTTTTATGTTTTACATGCATATATGTCAATTGTAGCAACTGTAGCATTTATCTCACCTCTTGTTGGTGCAGACATGATAATATGGCAGTAAAAATGTGATACATACCAGCGATTCATTTCTGCTTACTGTTGAAGTGGTGGAGCCTGGAAAAAGTATTTAATAAAAAGGCTTTTGTTTTGTCGAATTTACCAAATGAAAACAATAAGAGGAATTTAAAAACAAAAAATTTAAAAAGGGAGCACCTAGGCTTACCATCTTCAGCGATGCGTGCAGATGCAGCAGCGGGGAATCTTTGCCTGGATAGTAAAGACAAACCCGGGCTGGACAAAGGTCTCCTCAGCGGCCGGGTGGGTTTAACCGTGGATGTAGGATAAGAAGCGCTCATGTCTATAGTGGTATAGCAAAATAATATTTTGTTTCGCAGCTCAGCGCGTTGAATAACGAGGGAAAGTACTTTTATTAAAACGCTCTTAGCTAGCTAACTCAAGGTTAGCATTAAAGCTCACGTGCGTCAGCTATCTTGCTAAACGCTACTTTAAGAAAGTTCTTAAAAGTAAAGGAGAGCAAAGCTGTCAGCATCAAAAGTTATGATTTAATATTTAAAGAATGTGTTAAGCATTTGGGCGCTCAAATTTACCTACGTTCACGTGCTGCTCGTGAGAAGAAAATGAGCGCGGCACCTGCGTGATGACGTCACCAGAAGGTCAAAATCAAAACCGCTTGAACGTTAATTACGCGGAGAGATGTTTATCGGAACCTTCTCTGTATTAAACCAGAAATAAAAAAAGTATGTATTTGTTCTTACTGTGTAAAGGTTTACTGTTCAAAAAATAGTGTCAATCCTGTTTTATTTTTTGGAAGGCAAATCATCGAACGCTTTCTCAATGGCGTAACGAGACAACAATAGGCCCGTAAGCAACATTATTAGGGTGGGGCTATGGCAAGCAATTTTCACATAAATCGGTTGTCTTACCTTTACATTCAAGATATCTCAAAACGTTTTATGACTAGACGTTTTAGCGATTTAAGATATCTCTAATTATATTTTGACTTGTCAAAATTCCTATTCGAGATATCTCTAATTACATTCTGACTAGTCCAAATGATGTCAGATTTACCATTAACCTGTATGGAGACATCATATTAAGATATCTAGAATGAATTACTGGCTATCTGAAATACACATTTCAGATATCTACGATTAAATTACGACTAGTCATAAAGTAATTTCAAGATATCTCGATTTTTGTTTTGACTAGTCATAATTCTAATTAAAGATATCTCAAATTGCACTATAATTCATGATATCTTAAATGTATTGTAGGATAGGAGATATGCAGTTTTGACAAGTGAAAACTAAATTATAAATATCTTAAAAGCAAATAATGACTAGGCAGAATATGGCAAGCCTTTTTAACATAAATTCGGTTTCGTCTGACCATCCATAAATATGTTCCAGATATCTTAAAATACATTTTGAGTAGACAAAACCACATTTTGACTATCCGGAATGATAATTTAAGATATCTGTATTTATATTCTGATTAGGAAGAATAATAATTCAAGATATCTTAAATTACATTTTGCCTAGTCAAAATTCCTTTCAAGATATCTCAAATTTCAAAATTTAAAGCATCACACGCTGACTTAACTTTTCCTGACAGTAAGGAATTTTTTAGGAACCATCCTCCTGGAAGTATGGCAAGCTTGCCATATAGACCATATGAAGTACAACACTCTGGATTACCCATAATTCCAAGTTGTGGTGTAACAATAATAATAATAAAATAATCAAATACATTTTTCTTTTAAAATCTATATTGCGGTTTGAAACATATATAAGCGTATTTTTTTTACCAACCGTCTAATGAACTATACACAGTTATTAACATAGTAATTAAAAGTACCACTATCTGCTTTGCTATTGGTGTCGCGTTTCAACGGCTCACCATCATGTGAAATCTGGCATGTGTTGGGGTATAAATAAGTTCCAGTCAGCCACTTTAAAGTCAGGTGGGTTTTTTAAGGAATTTTTCGCCTCATTACATCAGCAATCAGATGTCCTAGTCCAAAATTGCGAAGGGGGTCAACCAGGTGTCATTGACGGGGCCCGTAAGAGGCCGGGGGCCGTAAGCAACTGCATTCTCTGCTTACCGATATTTACACCATTGCGCTTTCTGTATGTATTTTGTATTACAATGAATTCTTTTCAGTATAGAGTATATAAGTATTTAACTGTAAAGAATCATACAGTTAAAATTATCTTTGGGTTCTCACCCTTAATCCTGCTAGGTTAAAATGTGCTATATTTAATGTTTCTAAGTTGGCTCTTTCCTATTGCGATTTTATAAAGATTTCCCTTCAGTTTGTGACTATAAAACCTTTTTTTCCACTTCTGTAAAATGCGTCTAGTGTCTCAAAGAGACGATTGTTAAATGTTTACAATTTTCATTCATCTTCTTTTTCCAAACACCCTGAAGCAGAGGTCTTCAACAGGGGGTCCACAGAGGTACTGCATGGGGGTCGCGAAAATTTTGGTTGATTAGACTTTTTTTTAATATTCCCCTTCTGCATTTTTTTCCCACTAATTGAAATGTCTCTAAATGCATATTAACATGAATTCAACACACTGTAGTAAAGGGATAAATGGAGGCAGGAGATGTCTTTCAGTCATCAATGCACACATACAGCAACACACAGGAGCTCTTTCAAGCTGGCCACAGTTTCATTCACAACACCTATCCCATCAATGAGGAATCAGAATCAGAAATACTTTAATAATCCCAGGGAGAAATTACGTTGTTACATTACTCCATATTTGATAGAGGGACCAGTTTGATATAACATATTATAATATAATACATATAAGTAGGGGGTCCCTGCTCCCTCTCATCATTAGTCTCTATCTCAATGTGACTATACTTTACTTTTTATATTTTTTATATCTGAGGAAACATATTCCAGGAAGTTACCACTTTTTTCTTTTTTAATGCTTTTTTTGTACTATATAAACTCTTTTTATATTGTCTGGCATACATATATTTTTTAATCTTTAATGGAATCTTGCTTTAACTCTTTTTACTCTATATAAGCTACTGGAACCAGAATTTCCCTGAAGGAGTAATCCCAAGGGATAAATAAAGTTGAGTTTATGTCTAGAGAATCAAACACATACACATCCACTATCATTCCTAAGCAAGCTCTGCACTGGTGGGGACCACGTGGTTATTGCTGGGCTTACTTGTGTACCCTGAAGCTTTCCTCCACTTTAAGAGTATTACAATTTGAGTGAAACCTGACACACAGACCTATCCTTGTCTTTCAAGTCTTTTTGATGCAAATCAAGAATGAACGGCTATTTTGCCTCAGAGGAAACAATGGCTGACTAAAAATAGTCAGCCACAGATACAATCAGAGCAACAAGATTAAATCAGCTTTTCCCATTAACTCTTTCCACAAAACTAAGGATGATATTGTTCTTATGATGCTTGAAGGTCTGTTAAAACAGTCCAAAGGGAAATTCCAGTTGCAGCGTAAATGATCACATTTCTTGTGGTTATTCTTCATAGTAAACTACCTGTAGATGAAATGTAAACAAATAAAAATCTTTTGATTTTCTAAAAACATTTTGACACAACTGTAATATTATGTTTCCTTCAGAATCTGTGGGAGAACCATGTGTTTTTATGTTTAAGTCTGTCCTTTTTTTTATATTCATATAAGGAAATAAAATATGTCATAATCCAATAAAAGCATACAGATAAGTCACTATCTGAAGTAAAAGGGAAGGATATAAAGAATGAAAGCAAAATAAACAATTTAGATGAGAAAATAAAACATTATTACTTTTTTTAAGCAGAGGAGGCAAGAGTGGTTTCATTTTCATGGTTTTCCTTTGTAAATACCTGCAGGTGTACCTGTTCTGTGCTTTAACGTCAGAGCGACGTCACTTGTCAGCGGGCATTCATTGGTTTCTATCAATCTCCTTCTGCTGTGGCCATATTTGTTGATGTGTCATAGCAGTGAGTAGCTGTAGCTGGGCGATCAGCTGCTTTAACGGGCAGTTCTGACCGTCACTGCACGGACATACACGATGACTTGTTGGGTTTTGGTGGGTATAAATACAACCATCTTTATTTAGCTTCACCCTTCGTCATTGATGCATGCTAGCATTAGCCTCAGCTAACGTCTGTGTTATCATTTTTAGCTCAGCTAACTGGATAAAATAACAACATATGACGTTAAAACATGTCAACCTAGCCGCGTGTTCATTATTAAACATCGTTGCTTTTTTGTTTATTTATTATATGCGGTTTAAGCTGATATAGTAGCCCAACAGTTAGCCCCGATGCCCTGGAGCTAACTGACAGGCTAGCATGCTAACAAGTCAGAGGGACAGGTAGAGCTAACGTCAAATGCCACGGAATGTAAATAAAAGATCAAACACTATAATGATCATCGTTTGGCTGCTTATTGTTACAAATAATTAACTTTGTTATGTAATCGATTATAAAAGGGAAGTGGTAGATTTATGATGGTACTAGCTAGGTGTTGTGGCACGACACCTGTCAGAGGAGCATCATTATGTAAGTACTAGCTTAGGTTTTCACATAGAAACAGCAAAATGAGTGAAAATCAAGATATTTCACTCTGTAAGAAGATCTTTAGGGATAATATTTAAACATTGGTTTGTGTTGGTCTCTACTTGTGTAAAAGGATATGGGTTATTAACAGAGGATGGGCATGAAATGGGTGGGGTTAGTGATCCTGGGAGCATAAAGAGCTTTAGCTGTAAAAGGGAGAAAAAAAAGGTAAATAAAAACATAAATTACTATTAAAGTTTGTAAGGCCTCCACCCACACTAAATGTACCCAGTGATCATTAACACAGTAAATGCTGATAAGCCCCTTTTCACTCTAGTGCTGGATAAGAGGTAATGTATTAGTTTTATTTTTTATTATTTACTTCTTTGCTTCAGCCTACCTACATCTGTTTGGGTGTAACTTTTTTCATAAAAATTCTCTGATTTGAGGCAATAGTTGAATTAAAATGTTAGGCCCATGCTGCAAGTGTTTCAGGTGTCGAATGAAGCCAATAGATACTGTAATCTTGAATAACAATCACAGCTGTGTGACGTTCTCTGTCACACGCCTTCCGGCAAATGTAATCCTGTCACAGGCGGGGCAAAAGACACACCTCTTTTGTGTATTGTCCCAGCTCTCTAGTGTGTCTGTGGACATTCTTCAGGTTTTTCCTTTCGGTAATGAATGATCTACGAAGTACCGATCAGGAGGATGCAACATATAAATAGCTCAGGGATACCGTATGAATGATTTTAAGGAACTTTTTGTTGTTTACAGATAAACTTTCATTAAGCCAGCTTGTTTTCCTCCTTTTTTTTTTTTTAACTATTTTTTTGTTTTTTTTGCCTTCTTGCTGCCAGATTTGAACATAAGCGGCCATGAAACAGCCTGCTCCCACTACAGATGCACAGAAAATGGAAGCATCAGATAATAAATTGTCTACAGAGGATTCAAACCCAAGAGCCGTGTTACGTACAAGTACATCAAGCGTTGAAGAAGAGGAGCTCATTTTTCAGAACAGTGGACATGAGGTGAAGACTTGCAATCAGGAAAAAGTTGAAAAACAGCTGGAGAGCGGAGATGGAGCTCATATATGCGGTGTGGACTATCATGATGAAGGAGAGACGACCGCTGATGTTCAGACTGACACACTTGGCCATCTTTCAAATAAGACTACCTCTGCCTGTCATGATGTTGCAGAAACCTCTCCTTCCGTTATCGAAGGTACAGTGGAGACCTTTTTGACTTTTGATGCGACATCTCAAGCTGACAGTGAGCAGCCGTCACAGTCTCCCACTGCAGACAGCAGCAGCAATGCTGAAAGTCCTTCACTCCATTCTGTCCAAAGCACTTCCAAAAGCTCCCCCATAGACTCTTCTACCTCTGGGATCTCTAATGGAGCCTCCACTCCGAGCTCAGACACACTCAGCCTCTCGCCAGCTTCCAGCCCACAGACCAGCTCTGGCGTCCCTCTCCCCTCACAGTCCTCATCAAGCCCCTATGACACTGATTGCAGTCGAAAGCTCATTTCTCAGATCCAACGCTCGTTGTCACAAGAGTCGCTGTTGGATGAACTGGAGTCGGAGCTTTTAGCTTGTGGCTTGTCTGAAAGGGAAAGCAGAGGAAAGGGGAAAGGGAGCTCGCCTGTCAATGGACTCCCAGCAGACCAGGACGGCTGCATGATGGTCTTTGAGAAATGTGTGCAGTACAAATGCACTCAGCAGGAGAAGGCTATTCAGAGGTAAATTATATAGAATAAAATCCTTCCACTGATCGTTTATCCCTTAAGAGACACAATTTTTAAGAAGCTTTTTTAACCTTTTTGCTTAGGTTGCTTGAGGAGAACAAGAGACATCAGGAGCTGATCCTGGGGATCTGCTCAGAAAAAGATAATATGAAGGAAGAGCTGAAAAAGAGAGCAGAGACAGAGAAGCAGCACATGGGCTCTATTAAAAAGGTCAGTATTTTATTCTGTATTCTCCATTCCTGTAAAGTAATTCTCAGCAGATATTTCCTTGCCTGTAGACAAAACCTAGGAAATCAAACAGCTAGTCAGACCAACTCCCCATTTGGAATCATTTTGAACAGCTCCAAACACTTTCACTATAAACATTGAAACTTTGACAAGAGATTATTTAGTTTGTTTCTGTCTTCTCAGTGGAATGACTTTATAATGAATCCATCTGCCCTATCAGCTGCAGCTTGTTGGTCTGCTCTACGTTGGGTTTTTCATTTGTCATTTTTGCAGTATTATTGATAATCTGTGTCAGATGTGGGGTGCTGCTGAAGTAAAACACCATCTAGCAGGCTGAATTTCATGTAGCCATGCAAATGTTAACTCAAGACACGTGGCAAATATTGCTTTCAACACAGCCATTGTTTGTGCTCTTGTGATATTAAACCATAAAGACACATCTTTTGAGATGATGTGTCATGGTACATTGCAATG